ACTTTTCTTAATTTGAAGCTAGTATTGGATAGTCAGTTATATTATCTATCTTTGTACCATTCAACTCTAGTAACACCCTATCATCGTTATTTTTTGTCCAAGTTAGGTAATCTTAGGGATCGAAAGCATATATTTACATTCATTTTATGACTTGAGACAGGTAAAACAGTACTTCAAAATCCTTCAACAATGTTAGAAAGTCAAATGTCACCAAGATGTACAGCTCAAAGCTACATTAACAGCAAACAAGAGAATGGGTTATTATTATATGAGATCAGTGTGATTGCACTGATAACAGTCACCTTTCCTCAAACAGAAAATGTACCCTCTGTGACCACACATCCTTTGTGATTCATTCAGTGCTCCTGTGATTTATTTTTAGTAGACAGCTTTTTAATTTTAATCAAATAAATCAAAACAACAAAGGACACATTAGAAAAAGGAAAAACAAAAGTGGTTGCTCTTAATATCTATTTTTGAAATGTATTATTTTTTGAACAGATTAGTAGAGTACAGTTAATATTTAATATCTAATATCTGTCAGCTGATATGCCCTGTGCATTATAGTTATTTCAGCAGGCTATTAAATTGATCTGAGTATAATGTAACTCCATGTTTGGCATGGTAAATCACTAAGCAGACACTGGTGGTGCTTGGTTTCAAGCTATAATGTTCAGAGCTATTTGTTGTAAGGAGCTTTGGTCGTCTGTTGGAATACTGTAGCACTGAATAGGTCAGTAGTCCTACGGAGGGACAGTTGTACGGCTATACCTGTAATACAATACAAATCTATTGCACTTTTACAGAAGCTTTCAATAACAAAGCTCCCCACCTAGCCATGATAAAATATTAGAACTGGTCTATAGACTGAAATCAATGTGCATACAAGCCATCTAAACACAAGACCAGCGATCAGTCAAACGGATAGGGTGAGAGAGTGTCTTCCTCTCACTGTTTCTGTCACTGCTGAGTCACTTACTGTGGCTGGTGATGCGCAGTAATCTTTTCATCATGTACATACATTTCCCTTGCCAAATATTTGTAGAATACTGCGCATGCATGCACGCACACACACACACACACACACACACACACACACTCTACACTTTGTTTTCCACTCTCTTTGCTATGATATTCTGTCCTCACTTTTAGCAATATATAGTACTGTCTAAACTGCAAATGCTATTCCCTTGAGCAAGACCACTGAATACAGCCTGGAGTGGCACTAGGAGTACCACTCTATCCACACTGGTTAAATGTATGCATACTGTATGTGTGTGGCAGTGTGTGGAAGTAAAAAGAAACACGTAATGAGACTACATGTGTAGCGACTGGAGTGCTAGCGTGGCTTATCTTGTTCATGCCCCTTTTCTCTGTTTCAGTGAAGGTCCTTGAAGTACAGTTTGAAGTGAGCTATGTCGAGAAGCATTGAGTGAGGAGTTGATTGATTGAATGTCATATTATGTATTTAAAGCAGTAGCAAGCTCTCACCACATACTTGAAATAGAAATAGATAGATGCAGTGCACACATGCCAAAATACATGCATATTTCTTTCATGGAGGCTCAGTGCTTGGTGTTGTCACCTCACAGCAAGATGGGTTTGGGTTTGAACTACATAGCTACATTTGTTATGTTATGGCAGCACATGTCACAAAGTCAGTAGTAGTAGTATTGTGGTCTTTTGGAAAACAAATGTCTTTTGACAGGAATACAGGTCATCTCACTACAAGACATTCTTACTTTAAGTTAATAGTCCACAATATAATGGACTTTCAATGATGCTTAGATGTTCTTTAGTGAACATCTTGTAAACATCTTTGTTTATATCTAAGTACTTGTTTTTGTGCCAAACCGTGACATTTTCAATGCATACATTTTACACCAGTTAGCATAACTACAATATAATTGCATGCAGCCATCAGAAATAACAAAATATAAGATAAGAAATTGCTTCCCTAAGACCGACTATGAATTTTTCATTTTGCCCGCGGAATATACATGATTGCAGAAAGTAACACAATTTGGTGGCACTTAACTAGAGGATTATAGCCATCAATATTAGATGAACAAGTTCTCCCCCAAGTTAATGAAATCCCTGCATGCCCACATTAGAAGAACAGACTGATAAGGAATGGATCCGATCTCTTGTTTCTTCAATGTTGAATTGCGACATTGGCACTTCATGTTTGACCAAACATGAGCGTCAGCCGCTTCAACAATATACATTTTGCTGTTCAACTTCCTAAGCAATACAGGTTCTTATACTAGGATTCTCATTTTATTGACGCTAATCATATGTTGGAATGAATAATGTTTTTATGAGAGAGAGGTAGAAACAGACTAGTACATTTTGAGATTATTATTACTACAAATAGGAGTCATAGTAGTACTGTTGTTAGTATTAGTATTGCTATTTGTGTTAGTAGTTGCAATATTATGTTGTCCACTGAGGCAGTTTTCTCTGATGAACAGAGCCAAGGGATTTCAGAGCCTCAGGACAAGGACTGTAGAAGTACCATCTCTCATTTTCTTTGTGGTAACTTTGGGACATTTAGAAGGCAAGCTGCAGAGGACCTAAGGGTGTACGTGAGGGGACAGAAAATGATCGACAGTCTGGTGTGTAGGGAGGAGTCAAAACATTTAGTGCCTTAAAAACCTTGAGGAGGACTGCATTATGTTGCAACCTGCAGCAAGACATCCATTTTTGATGAAACATTTTCTGCACAGACAATCCCAGTCCTTTGTTTTATGTCTATTCTGTTTCAGTCAAACAACAATAGAGAGAAGGTAAACATGGAGCAGACAGCTGACATTTTCCTCAAACATCTGTTGCAAAATGTCCAATTTACATTCTGTTATAATTAGTGCTTTAGAACTTCCCCATTGAAGGTATTTATTAAGAAAGGTTTCAGCCTTATTTTGTGAATTTGTTTTTTTAACAAGTGTGTATATATTTGGTCTAGATAAATCTTTTTAGTTTTTAGCTGTCACTTCCTATAACCATGACAGCATGTCTGTGTTTTTGTTTATGTGTGTGTGTGTGTGTGTGTATGTGTGAGAAATACCATGAAAGCTAATTTGCAAACATACCAGATGTTCAGTTTTTCTTGTTTTTCTGCCAGAGCCTCCCTTTTGCCCTGTTTGGGTCATCATGACAGTTGTCATGAATACATTCCTAACTCTGTATTTCTTCATTCTTTTAAAGACTTTTTACACCAAAAATAGAGAACAAAGAAAAAAACAACCAAGCAGCAAAACCAAGAATGGTGAAAATACTATTTGAATTGATATACATAGGAATAACTAATAATTACAAATCTGATTAATAACTAATCTGGGAGGCCTCTATTATAAATCACCAGAATCCTCTGGATTGATTAGTACATTCATTGATAGGAAGACGTGTAAAAAATGCTCAACATTTTTGTGACATTGCATTTTATGTAAAAAACATCACTTTAGTTAATAAAATGTTGAGAATTTTAATTAAAGCATAAATACAAACTCTTGAAGGTAGAGAGAAACATGTAGTGCAAGCAGTACAAAATAGTCCACATAGATAATTTTGTGGAACCTCCACTTGTCCTTCCTGCAGAGGACAAAGCTTTGTTTTTCGTCAGTACTATTCTCACACACCTTTTTGAGGTCACACAGCATTCCCAGAATCTCATTCTGGTGTTGTGCTGTATAATAAACAGAATTTCTCTTCACAAATATTGGTTCCATTTCCTGCTCTCTAAAGACATTACCATCATTACCAAGGAGCATAAACAAAGACTGTGGATTTACTGAATTGTGCTCCTTCAGCCATGTCTCCTCCTTTCCCTCTTTGTTGTCCCTGTCTCTCATTTACTCCTACCACCTCTGTAGCACAAATACATATAACTGCATTGTTATGCTGGAGTAAACTGAGCCAGTTTGTTATTTCTTCTTTTATGGCCTTAAATATGTGCAAAGCACATGCTGGAAGAAAACATTCAATCTGGAAGGCTCATTGTAAACTGACATTTATGAATTTACTACATTATGATGTTTTGTTTTTATTAAGAAAACAGATCATCATTATACACTACACTAAATATGAATAACTTAGAAATTGTTTTGCTAATGAAATTTGAGTAATGGTATGTGGGGTGTTGTAGTGTGTGCTAATTTCGTCACAGATCAAAGAAATACCTCACCTAAACTGTGCTAGTTGCCTCAGGCAAATGCATCTCGTCCCTAATTGAAGGTCTCTTCCGACTCACTGAGTCAATACAAATGACTTTAATACTCAAACCATTATTATTTCAAATCATTGTCAAAAAGGCGTGATACATCATTGACTTATGCCCCGGTAATGTTAGAAAATTGCTCCATGCATTTTGTGTTACTGACAGTTAGGGGCCTGAAAACAAGTAATGCTAATGACATAATCTGGCTGCGACCACCCTTGTCCCTCCCACCCTCTCCCTTCCTCTCTCTTCCTCTAGCTTAGACAAACGGGCTCATCTGTACTAGATCATTTGCCGTCTCCTGATACGCTGTGGTTTATAGCCAATTATCTCTCACTATCCATTATCGATTACAGTGTTATCTTCCTTGAATTGCTTAATCTTTTGGCACAGGAACATAGCAGCTCACAGGGGGGCCTGGATACAAACTGCTTAGCGATGGGAACACTAGTTAAGATGGATGGGTGTTCATTTACTTGTAGATGGGTACGGCTTAAATTCACACTCATTCCGACTGTATTCAGAATCAGTGAGGGCCGGGTGTTTTTTAGATTTGCAGCTCTCTCTGTTAGGAATTAAAAACTGCATCAGTCAGTTTATCTAAGGGTGTGTTAACCTTTGATAGTAGTCTGAATGACTGATTTCCTCTGAGGTTAATACAATATTGTTTGTGTTGGCTTTCTTCAGTGAATTAACTTGGCTTACAATAAACCAGCAGGGCAATAACAGTGCTGACTGAATATTGGGTTACTGATTTTTTTGTGTGTCTGTGTCTTCTTTCTAGTTGGGTTAATAACTTCGGTCATGAGGGTCTCGGCCTTCTTCTGGATGCTTTGGAGAAGCTGCTGGACAAGAAACAGTAAGTGATCGCCTATGACTTCCCATCTCTGTGTAATTTTTATGATACCAGGTTCTATTCTTGCAATCACAATATCTTTTCCGATATTTTTTTCAGGCAAGAGAATATTGATAAACGCAACCAGCATAAACTTATCCAATGCTTGAAGGCTTTCATGAACAATAAGGTTTGTATGAGTCAATGAAGAAAAGACCATCCACTCAACTGATTCATTAGATAATGAACTCAGTATAACTGCATGATAAAATGATATTGCTTGGATGCAATGATAAAATAAGATCCTCCTGTCATGATTAAAACAGCGTTATTGCCCTGAAATTCAAATTATATAATTTTAATTCAATTGTAGAAGGTAATTTCTAGTGGTTTGTTCCAGTAACTGGAAAGCACACACAAGAAGAGAGGACATTCTTTTTATTAAACATCTTCAAAATTTCTAATTGTGCCAGGATTCCAAACCTGATTTGAATCTGGACTCTGACAAGCCTGGGATAATGGGACCATAAAGGGAAGCTAATTTTACCATTTCAAGCCCATAGTCTCAGATCTTTTAATTATCCTTTTTGGGAACGTCTGGCTCATTTCTCAAAAATAGCACACATTTCAAGGACAGGTGAACTATTGATATTGCTTCTCTTAGAGTTAATGCCCACACATAGTCATCTCTGCCCATTCCTTCAGTTGCTGGAAGACTAAAAGGTACAGGAGACTATAGGTATTTGTCCCTATAGTCCTGTCCTGAATTGAAATAATTCATCATCCTCTCCATTTTCTCCCATGGCCTCGTTGTCCCCTCCTTAAAAGAATATTAACGTACATTAGAGCTTCTTTGTAGAATCCATTTTTTACTTGAAGTGAAAGTTCTCCATGAATTCAAATGCTCTTATTATTTAAACCCAACGGACCTGTTCTCCATCCTATCTCCTCCCTTCCATGTCTTACAGTATGGACTGCAAAGGATCTTGGGAGATGAGCGGAGCCTGTTGCTGTTGGCACGAGCAATTGACCCCAAACAGACCAACATGATGACAGAGATTGTCAAAATTCTCTCTGCTTTCTGTATTATTGGAGAGGAAAACATGTAAGTTGACCTTACTCTTGCAGACTTTCTCCTATCTTGCATTCCATTAAAAAGACATCTCTAGTTAGTCTATCATATGCGCACGCACTCAACATGTAAATTTTATCCAAAGAATAAAAAGTAAGATAAATATTTTGTCACAGTGAGTCAGAGCGTCAGTTGTATTTGGAGGGCATCTTGAAATATTTGCCAATGAGATTTTCACCACTACCAAAGAAAATAGGTGTGAGTAGAAATCCATTTGTTATACCTAGAGTGTGAAAAGTTAAATTAAAGTGGACATTTTCCATTGGAACTATTTATTGATACATATTCCAGAGGTTTCAATGACAGATAATGCAAAACTATAATATATAAATATATATAAATTATATGCACAGATTACATAAGATTAGGTAGGTGGGGAAATATGTTTTTATTTGGATGACCTGACTCTTTAATTGCTTTTTCCCTAATCTCCATTCAGAGTGGGTCGTTTTCTGTATTCTAATCTTTCTCGGTAAATCACACCTGATACGGAAACAGCACAGCACCATTTCAAAACCCTGAAATGAAAAATAAAATGTAACGATGAAAGCGATATGGTCCATCTCGGCTATGCTCTCTAATGTTTCTGAGACAGTAAGAGGGGAAGGAGACGACTGCTTCTTGTAAACACTGGAATATCACTATTGCCTCAATCTTCTCCCACTGGGTGGCATGTACTCAGACAGAGACTGGACTGCATGAATACATGTTTACCCACTGGAAGCATGTACCGCATATACAGATGACCTCAGACAGCACAGAAATCTTTTGGGTCACATGGTCAGATGATGCAGTTCAGTCTGTTTAAATGTGCCACGGACACACAACCTGGCTGACAGTTTATAAATTGGATTTAGGGGAGTGTTTTTTATTGTTTCCCACAGGGCCAGACTAGAATAACAATGGCACTTCAAAGTCGGTCTGTATGCAGTGGTGGAAATAAACAAAGCCACAAATTCAGTTGGAGGAGCTGAGTTCAGCAGTGTGTCTCACATCTCAGACCATTCAAGTAGGCCTTTATGCTTGTAGTTCTGTGACTGAGCATGATTTCCAAAATGATTTTGAAGTTACAGAATATGAAGGAAACACAATTGTTTTCAGTAACCACTCCTAAAAATGTATATCGATTAACAGATGTTTACAATAATGTGGGAATATCCATATCGTTATTCTCATACAGCTTAATATAAAGTATACAGAAGGACTAAATATTAAGTATTGTTCTATTAAAAAAATGTTTTCGATATAATCATGAGTTTTGCAGATAGAGGCAGTTGAATCTGTATATAATTGATGAGTTATTAGATCCATATGAATTTCCCAGTCTAACACTCCGACGTAGATTTGCTGCTTGCATACAAACACACACAATTATTTTTAACCAGATCTGGGTGTATAGATAGTGCAGATATTGTCTGCCTCTCTCTCTCTCTCTCTTTCTCTTTCTGCATTCTCAAAACATTCAAGAATAAGTTGAAGTAAACATAGCAATCTTTGCCATGATCATAGCCCTGCATTAAAATGTACGTATCCTGCAGAAATGACAGTCAAAGGAGCTGAGGCGTCACTTTCTTGCTCAGAAACTTCTCTGCCAACCAATGTTGTGACGCTGACTCATGTTCAACACCCACTTCAGCTGACAGCATCAAAAGGGAACACGACAAGTTAAGCAGATCTATCTCGCCTGTTTTGAAGCGTCGTCTGAACTGGCTTTAAAGCTACTCAGTATGCAGCTCCCCATGCTTGTCTGTGACTTTGTAACCCCTATCAGAGCGTGGTCGTTCCATTTATCTCTGTGTCAGGCTACCTCCACACATACAGTCCTATTGGTCAGACACATGATCTCCCTCACTCACAAAGCAACTGTGCTAGTATTTTGTCATCCTGAAAGTGTTATTTTTTGGGGTTGATATAAGGTAATAAAAAACGGCAACAGCAACCCTATGTGACACGTGTAAGTAGACATCTCACATATAAACACAAATTGTTTGATCCATACAGCTCACATTTTACCAATTGGCCTAGTGTGATTTATTTCTTTATTATTTTAAACTAATTTATTGGAACAGCAAGGGGATATCAGATATATCAGGCTAAGATCTCTTTTGTACCCACAGGAGTAAGAAGGTTAAGGAAAGGAGAGTTAAGCTGTTTATTTCCTCAATGAAGGCAAAATAACAAATGTGGCCTTGTAGTGACAGAGAGAGTAGTTGTTGCCAATTATTATGTACGAATATTGTAAATCACTATTTACATAAGTGCTCAATAGACATCAATTTACTTTTATTGTAGTGTGTTTGTGTGTTCAGCACACAATTTCTCTTTCATTCACAATTTAAATGTTGAAATTGTCCAAAGCTCTATTTAGCTGAGCTGCCTTGAGGCCTTGCAAGTACTCTAATTTGCTTACCTTCTCAATAGGTGTATTTGCACATTGGTCTGGCAGTCTCCTCAATAATTTGCACCCTTTCTCACACAGCCAAATACACCCTACCACAATTGCTTTGACAACTGAACACATTTGCAGTAAAGACCTGCTTTTGTCTAGCATCACCTCAGTAACAAGCACGATGAAGTCAAAATTGGATATTGCAGCAATAATAGACCGGATTGCATACAAATAGATGGAGAGCAGTAGCATTTGTCAGGGTGACCAAAGACTGGCCAAACAAATGTCCACACCATCACAGGAAGATAAGATACATGGTGTTTGAGCTGAAAATTGTGAGTAAATGTCCTGTCAGTGAGGTGATAAAAGTGTTTGTTGACTTTTGTGTTGTGCCTGCTCCCCGTTCTCTGTTTTCTTCCAGCCTGGATAAGATTCTAGCTGCCATGACAATTGCTGCAGAGAGGAACAATAAAGAGAGGTTTGCTCCAATTGTGGAAGGACTGGAGAACCACGACGCCCAGCAGCTGCAGGTTAGGAATTGCGCACGAAAAAGCAGTTAACATCAATGTCTCATATTTATCACTGCCCTTTTATTAGATTCTTTCTTTTGAAGGAGAAAAGTTACCTTTATGGTTCAGTGGCCAATACAGTAACCACTGTCACTCTGTAGCATTGTTCTGACTGCTGTATTATTCTGTGGTACAGTACACATTTCAGGATGCCTTGTCTTGTCATGCACACTGATTCATACTTAAAAAGACTTAGTAGCAACTTTTAACAAAAGCAGGAGTTTTCCCATGTACAGTGGACAGAAATCTGGCACAGTCCAGTGTGATTCACGCAAATTATGTTGTGTCATGAAGATCACGCTTAATGCCAGGCAAAAATCAAATTGACAGTTGTGTCACTCTGTGGCCCACTGTACCCCAGCCTCAACTGTCTTCATACATGTGTTTTCTCTCATTTTCTTCCTGTCTTTAGTTCACTTGTAAACCCAACTGCACCTCTTGCACACGATGGGATGTGATCACCGGGCTATTGAAATGCAGCCGGAGCTCCATTGTCACTGCTTTAATCAAAAACCCCTGCTTCTTTGAGCACCTCTATTGAACTTCCCATTCTTTTTGCAAAGAGCAGAAAAATGATAATAAAAAAGCAGTAATAAAAAAGCAGAGATGTTGAGTTCCTCTAAGCTTTTTGTCACTTTTTCTCACATTTTCTCCTCCTCGCACTACCTTGCTCAATTTTCTCACATCTTACAAATACTTCCCCATGCTGCTGTCAAGTTGGGTCTCAGAGGACTCGTGAAAGGGCAACTAAAGCACCATACCTCTCTTAATTTTCAATAGTATTCTTCAGCAGCAGGAAAAACTATACGACAGCAATAAAAACACAGCTTTAAACATGTTTTTGTGAAACCAAAAGCTGGGAATTACCTTAGGAATTACTTTTTTAACTGCGGGGATTGTGAAGTCATGAAGGAAAAGTCATGAAGGAAACTGATGAGGCGGGTGGTGGAAGCGAAAGTAGATATTCTTTTATTAGGAGGCTGTTGTTTTTCCTTTAAATTTTGCCGTTAATGAAATGAAGCTCTGCTAATTGTGAAGTAAATTAAAATGCTTTGCTGATGCAGGGGGTTCAAGGAAATTAATAGACTTTTTATCCAAAACCTGTGATGGGCTGTAGAACTAGACTTTGCTAATGTGATTAAAATGTGTTTTGCTGTAGTTCAGGCTATGCTTGTCTGCTGAGCACAAGAGAAACTCAGCATTTCAACTTTAAAACCGTCCCAGGAGTGCCACTTTTAATTATGATGTTTGGTACACCCCTATGGCACCTCTGCAGCTCGCTAAACCTAACCCAGGTAATGCCCCCACCCCCCCAAAACAACCGCTTCCCACTCCATGTGACACATATATAGTACATGACTGAGGTATGTTCAAGGTGTTCAATCTATATGCAGGAGAAGAGAAAGAATTTTTCATGAGCACCATGGCACATACAAAAATTTGGTGGAGATTTGGTCGAGTTTCTTTTATGTTTCTGGCCTCTGGTGGATAGAGTAAAATGTTTCAATGCAGAGATCTTGCCTATAGAGGCCCTCAAGCTTTTCTGGAACTGCCTGGCACTGGTGCCACATATATGAATAGAGGTGCATCCTTTACTGCAGCAAGCTTGTGCTTTCCAAAGGGAATATACAGTATCTTATATCTGTATTGCATAACAACATGCATTTTTCACCTCGCTATTACCTCGCTAACAAACGTTTGTTGTAGTGCTGCTACAAGTTTAAGGTAACAGTAAAACAGAACAATACTGTTCATTTCAGATAGCTTTTGTTCTGCCCTTCATCAGACATCAACTCAAAAAGCAGCAACATTTGACTGTAGTGCTCATTAAATATTACTTAAAATTTTGTTTATTGAACAAAAGTGTGTTAAAAGGTTTAGGGGACAAAGCAAGACAACAAGTAAAAAGAAAGCTTTTCCTAGTGTAAATGCTGATGGCATTACATAGAAAGACGTGCATTTGTAGATTTGAGTGTTAGACTAAAAATTTAAACTCGGAAAAATAATAAAACTGACCCAGGAAACCACACAGAATCAGCAGTGTTGTGGCGCTTATTAATAACACATACAAGCCAACAGTACACAGTCAAGGTTTCAGAAGACAATGTCTCCTATCTTCCATGGGAATATTTCAGTCTGCTATCGATTGTCTGTCCAAGGAAAACTGTCTTATCCATGGCTTGCTCCCCTGAAACACCTTACTGCTCATTATAATTCATCACCGATGACTCTTATCCCCTCCTCCACCCAACCCCCCACACACACGCGCACACACACGCCTTTTCCTTACCAATAAATCCATTAATAATGCACATCTATTCAGTAGACACACCAGATCTGTACATTCTACTATCCCTCTGCTCTCTCTCTCATTGTTGCACTCCCATTTCTGTAGTTTTTGTTTTGGAAAGGGAATATTAAGAGCAAATAATGACTCAAAAGGGCATATTTATATTACAGAGACCAAAAAGAATTCACAATTAAATGGAATGATCTTGTATTGATATGTTTTGCAAGAAATGTCTCATTTGTTTTTCTGTCTTTTGTCTACTGCAAAGGTTGCTTGCATGCAGCTGATCAATGCCCTGGTCACTTCCCCTGATGACCTGGACTTTCGGATACACCTACGTAATGAGTTCCTAAGATGTGGCCTCAAGAAGATCCTACCTGTGAGTTATCAAACTATCAGGCCCAACATGGTTAGACTATGCACATGAATAAAAAATGAAATTCTGTCAAGAGTGTATTGCTTTGGTAATTCTGTTAGAACCGCTTGCCTTGTTTTAGACTCTGACTACATTCTCCACCTAGCAGATTTTTAGCCTTACATCAGAACACATTTCAGCACATTATTTGACTGTAGTTAACAAATAGCCAAACAGCATTTTCAGTCATGCAGCACTTTCAAAATGTTATGAATATTTAATGCAATTTTGTTAAACAATGAGGCATTCAAACCAAATAATCCAGGTGTAAAAGGAATTCCTCCTCACAAGATTTGAGAACAGTAATGAGTTAGTTAGTGACCTCAAATCACAAAGGCTGGACCTGTCACATAACACAAATAATATTAAAAAGAAATTTTGTTAATGTTGTTGTTATTTTTAACTCAGTTAGTTATGGTACTACTAGTAGTGGTATAACTAGTAGTAGGAGTAGTTGTAGCAGCTTGTGTCAAGTGTTATGCAGTGCTGGCACCTTATCACACGGGTCATCCTGGCATCATTATCAGCAAGCCTACACACCAAGCGAAGGAAAACGAGCTCCAGCTCATCATTCAAGCTCTCATTTGTAGCGAGTGGGGTGAACGTGTCACAGAGCCAGTTGTTAATAAGTCATCCCAGCTGCTCCTGTTGATTATTGCTGTCATTACTTTAATTATCTTCAGTTCTGCCCCTGATATGAAAGAGTCTCAATGTACAGCCATTTATGAATGCCACATTCACCGCTTTTTAATTCCGACATTCAAACTGACAGTCTTTCATCTAATTATGAGTTATGCTCAGGAGTCAGCGTAGCTGTTGGCAAAGAAAAAGTGAACACTGAAAAAGAAAGCACCATTTGTTTTGTTCTTATAGTCCTTGACACATGTATTTGCCCCCCACCCCCCACCCTACCGTGCACCTCCCTCCGAACCACGGTCGCTTAAGACAGATGGTGCACCCAAAAAACGGGGTGATTGATACCTGCAGAAATTGGGTTACATTTTGCTCTGTCTCCATCTGTAATCTCCACTGCCAGTGATTCATAGAGAAGTGGTAAAGAGCACTGCCATAGCCCCTCGTGGCTGGAACAGGTGTGCAGGAATAGTTACTGTGTGGAAAACCTAGTGAGAGGGTTCAGGTCGTCTCAGTTCCCAGTTCTTTGTACAGCTGGAACAGGGAAACTAATATTCTAGTATTACAGTTTTATAATAGGCCTGATTTATAATGAGATATAAAAGTGTGATAAGATTCAACAATACAAATACTTGAGTAATATATTATACAAGTTATATCTAAATTATTCCTGCAGATGCTACATCTGTTTATCATAATATACATTGCAACTATCTTCTCTGTGTAACTCAATCTAGGAGCTAAAAGAGACAGAGGAGCTAGACATACAGCTGAAGGTGTTCAATGAGAACAAGGAGGAGGACTCTATTGAACTCTCCCATCGCCTGGATGACATCCGTGCTGAGATGGAATATCCTTTTGTCCTCCCTCTCTGTGAATATACAGATGACAATACCTGCAGAGCTATAAGTGAGAGATGAGTGTGTATTGTGGGTTTGGTCAAGCTTTACACGCTAAAGCCCCTCATGGGTTGATTCATTAGAGAAGGATTTGAGGAGGCTGAGCACAATATCCAGCTCCATCTCTGACCAGGTATACTTGGTAAATAACCCTGTCATCTTAACCTCCCACCTCTTCACTCTTCTTTTTATTTACTCTTCTCCTCCTCTCCACATCACTTTTTGTCCTTTGTCTGTTAGTACTGGGTTAAGTACTTACTGTTGTAAGACTCAAGAGGATGATATCAAATAGACATATGCTTTCCTTTTCTTACCATTTACTGCACAATTAAACTGTAGACAATTAAACATTTTTATGTGTAGGCATATTATATTGCCAAGGTTTCTTCTGTTCAAGTATTATCACTCCTTGTCTTTCTGTTGCATTTTAGAAATGCGACTTTTCTCCTCCAGCTCTGTCTATTTAACTCCTAACATGCAGAGAAGAAGTTGATAAGGTGAGCAGTAATTTAGTCGAGAGTTGGAAACTTCTTCAAGCATCCTAGAGAAGAACCCTTTAATAATTCACAAATCTTCTCTAAGGCTATGTATGAGTGGCTGACATTGTGAGCAGACAAACCCGACGCTGACATTGTTATGCAGATGTTCATTCCCACAACCTTTTTCTTCCACCAAATCCCACAGTTCTAGTACTGGCACAACGTGCTGCTGTGAGTGACGGTTTCTGTTGACACATGTAGGTGAGGGGAGAAGGCTGTGTATGTGTGTGCACGCAGAGACAAAAAGTGCACCTGGATTAATGATGTGCTTGAGCAGGTTCACAAATGAGAAGGCCCAATGTTTGTTTCCAAGGACAATGTGGTATTGATCTGTGAGCTCTGAGCATGATTCGAATGCCCAGGCTACACTTTGTCCCCTTGCCTGCATAGCACACACACAGTTACGCACACATATCACACACTCACACACACACACACACACACACACACACATACACACACACATATATATCAGGCAGGTAGGACTTTTACTACCTGAGCATTGCATATGTGTCTTGTTTCTCCCAGCAGTTTCATGAATATTAACCTCGAGAGTCTCCTCTGTGTCCGGCCCAGGTCTAGGTGCCGAGGAGGTGACTCCAGGCCACTAATAAATATTAATGGGCTGTGCAATGGTGATTGATTGACCCCACCATTGAGTGGCCTACGTCACACTTGACTGCCACTCATGTTTATTCATTATTTGGAGAGGGAGTGTAAAGACAGAGAGAGACACAGAGCGAGAAAGATAGCATAGAAGGGGGTGTCATCGAATGGATTGGCATTCCACATTAGGTTTATGTCTGCAGCTTAGTGATAGATGAAGCTAGTTGGATACTTTCCCAGCCTGAGCCCCTTCTCATGTCCTCTCAAATACTGCTGTGGTGAGGCTATAATTGAATCTCACAGGATTGGTAATTCTCTCAGGCTTCATACTCAGCTAATACAAGGGAGGGAAATGATACTGCAGAGGAGCCTGTATTCCCATCCCTCTCTCTCTCAAAAAAAATTATATGGGATAGGAGTTTAATTACAGACATTGTTGAAACTAATAGGAAAAGTGTCAAACAGTATTTAAAAGAATTGATCTTCCCCAATTGCAGCGGCTACAGATTGTTTTGTATTGGATGATAGTATTGGAAATGGAGAATGCAGTTAAATGCTGTTTTTTTTTGGGGAAATAAATTGAATCTGACATTGATACTCTCTTACAGAGTCATCCTTCGTTAGCTGTTGATGAAATCTGACAAATAATATTGACAAAATATTCCGATTAACCTTTGAAAACGTGTTAGTTGGGCCCCTCTAATCGGTCATGTTTTGGATCTGTAACATTAGTATATCCATGAAATCATCTATTATAACACATTAAAGTAGTAGAAATATTACTGTTGCTCTGTTGAGTGTTAATTTGGCTCAGTTACCTGAACATCATAAAAAAATCAGACCAGACATTCTGAAAAATTTGGGACAGTTCCAAATTATGAGCAGTGGTCCTGAATCCTGTCTTGTGTCCTGAAAATTATGCTAAACTTGAGTTTTGATTAGTTATAGCCTAATAAAACATTAAATACTGACTGTTGTGAAACATAAGTTTGGTGTTGCCCACAGATGGGCACTGTTCTGGCTCTCCACTGGCTGCAGCAGTGACTGCACAGTCTCTTGGACATTGTGTCAACAACATTGTTATAGCCACAAAGTAACACAGGTGCAAGTTCTTTTGTAGTGTAGATGAACCTCGTGGAAGTTGCAGTCGCAAGGACAGGGGAAGTGTAGCTGCAGGCAGCCACGGAGAAGGATAGGTTTGACATGCTAATTACACAGACAGCTGTGACAATCATTGTGTTTTTCCCAAATGTCAGACAGTTGACTTCATGAACAAAATTGAACAAACATCAATTTGAGCGTTGAGTTTTGACATTGACATGTTTTATACTACAGATATACTACGTTGATACTGATTGTAATGTACTGGAGGTCACACCCACCCCTCCCCCGTCCCGAATTTCACCTGTTCTCATCTCTGCAAGTTTCTCCCTAGTCTTCTTTTCTCTGCATGTGTGCACATATCTGAGAACCTTTTTCTACTCTTTCAAACAAGATGAGGCTCCATGGGGAAATCCTCCTTTCTCAAGCAAAGTTAAATAGTCTCCAAATCATTCATTTTCCTGGGATCTTTACTTGTTAGAACTACACTTTTAGGAAACTATTAAAAGTTTGAGAAACACAAATTACAATATTTTTTTTTAAATGTACTACAAATCAACAGTTAACATAATGTAATTTTGAAATATGTTTCAATGCTTACCTTTACTGTGTGTTATATACGTAGTTCTCGCATTATTTTTGAAAGCCATCAATGTTTCCTACTGGGGAAAGCTAACGTAAGACACATAATCAATACCTTTTGCAAATTTAATAACATGAATTTTCACTCCTGAGTACATGTCAGTTTCAATCTGAGAACTGAATCTCAGCTATATTTTGGCCTGCGAATGATCAGCTCCCCATCATTCTTGCCTTAAACATTCAAATGTAATGAATTTTCTCTATTCTAGTGAGTGACAGGTAAACCAGAAGGAGCGTTCTTTATTGCCAATGCCTGTCCTCAACTTAGCTATTTTCCACTGTTGTAGCTCCCCTGAGAGAAAGTGGATAAGAGGAATCACATCTCCGTTTGCTTTGCACAATGATGGCTGTCAGAAAACCTTGAGGTGAGGAACTGGGGGAAATAAATAAGTAATTATAAAGAAAAGAAGTACTAATAAAATTTTAAATGTTTACAAGGAATTGAATGCACCTGAATAATGAACTGAAATGTGGTGTTTTCTCAAGAAGTTAACCTTAACTGTTAAATGGATTAACTTAGAAACCTAAAAAGTAAGACTGTCATAGAGTTGTTTTTCCTTAACCTTGCTTCTGTACTGATATGAGTGAAGTGTACCATCTCCTGTCGAATATGGTGAAAGACACTGGCTCAGAGCCCTACTTCCTGTCAATTCTTCAGCACCTATTGCTCATCAGGAATGACTATTACATCAGGTAAGTTCTGTGTGATTTTTACATACCACAGTCTTTTTATTGACTTATGCCCTTGTGGTGCTCTACTGTATGTCAATGCTTAGATAGTCTTGGGATTTGCTTGTCTGTTTGTTTGTCTTTGACCAACATATCTTGAAAAGTAAAATCTAGGTTGAAATTTATGTACTTTTATCATCCCAAAAGTAAGAGACCCATTGATTTTTAAAAGTCAAACTTAAAATACCTTTATATTAGTGTAACTTTTGTGTCATTTAACTACAACTCTATCAACTGTATTAGCTCGCCTCTGTTTTCATTAATTCAACTTGATTTTCACAAGCTGTGTGGTGATAAAGAGTCTTGCAGTCAGATGAAACATAAACCACCCACAAACTTAAACATAAAATAATATAACAATTAAATACATAAAATTTGGTAAAATTACACACTGCATCTTATTTGGAGGAATTGCTTCATTAACCACTGTTGAACCTCTGGTCACACCCAGCATTGCTGGTGGGGAGGTCAGGTGTTGTCTGTAGTTCTTGTGAAGACAGCATTTCACAGCAGTGCAGTGTGAAAAAGGAACATGTAGTCAGCACTACAAAGATTATTAGTCTGGGTGCACTAACTCTTTTTGTACACTTTCTTTGTCTACGAACACTGGAAGTAACAACAGACAAATTGTTAGAGTAAGGACAATATTGTGTATTTTGAAATTATTAAGTAAATTTAAACCGTTGGGTTAGCTTTCCATTTTGCCTTTGTAGAGCAAATATGTCAGTCACTGGGCAGGAAGGCCGCCGCTCCTCTGAATGGAATGACACTGATGAATTCAGTGCTGTGTCAGACCTTTTTTCAGAAATAAGAAAGTAGGAAGATGAAGGGAGGATGAGAGGAACAAGATGAATTTACCATAGACAAGTTGCTATTCCCTTGGCGTTATGAATAATGTATTCCTCATCTATTTGGAGAAAGTGAGAAATAGAATTCACATTAACCAGCTAGTATAGCCACGTCCACCTCAGCTCCAATGTCCATGTACCCTTCTGTAAGCCAGCAATAAGAAGGGATCTGTGCTGATGCTCTTAAAAAAATAAATAAACTGATGGTCTTTTTAAAGATATGTTTTAGAAATATTTTTTTTTCTCCAGCCTCCTTCACAAAAGCAAGGGCATACCCACGCACACACACTCACAAACATTAGCGCCAGACATTCTGATTAAGGCATTTTATTCCCAATACATCACAGCTGTGTGAGTTAGGATGATGGAAGATGCAGTACTACAGTACATGCAGCTATTTCCAATAGATACTATCTATCTTTTTCCAGTCTTCATCCTTAAAGTTTCTGTCTTTTCATGTTGTAGTCAAAATTTGGTGAATGTAAATGATTTGGTGTATATCTATAATATTTTGCCAACTTGAAACAAAAACAAAATAGGCATGTCAGGGAATGCGTGGTAGCAATGCAGGTTAGGTAGGTTGTATAAATGTGTGACATTCTTTGGCTTTGTGATCAAAAGGATGCAGGTGTGCTCATAATATTCTATCTAAAGTAAAGGATTAAGTTGTTTTCATCGTAGTGTGAATTGGAATCGATAACACTAGTGGTGCCTTGATTCATGTGTCAAATAATAATCTACATTCAATGATAATTAATTCAATAATATAATTAGTATTCTAATAATATGAAGGTCTGCAGTGGGCAAACTGTTGAAGTGCTCTGTCTACTGTCATTCCTCCTAACACAACATTAGTTGTTGCTCTCCCCTTCAGGGCTTGGTTTATTTTTGATAATTAATCTCTCACTGCAAGCCTAATGAATGGGAGCACATCAAACCCACCCAGTAAATATAGAGCAGATCTGCTCTTTTGGAGCCTGGTGATATGGGGATTACACTGGTTATGTGGAGCAGAGCTGGATCAAGTGGCTGGGGCTGTGCTGAACTGCAAGCTATCATTGGAAGAAATGAAGGTGCCAAAGTAAAAGAAGAGGTGGGGAATGATGCAGGGGACATATGCTAGCTTCTGGAGCCCAGCCCTGCCCACTGTGGAGGGGCCTGACAGTTCTGGGTCACTCTCTCCGTCTCTAGTTATCTCCACCCAGCCCCTATCTGCTTGGTGGTGGCGGAGGATGGAGGACGCAGGGAAAATAGGGCGGCTTATTGAGATAATAATGTGGTGTACATTGGTGACAGTTGTAAGCCGAGTGCCACAGCGCTTAAGCCATGCAGGGCGATGTGTGAGCTTTTGCTAGCTTGTTCCAATCATGAGTGGGCGAATCCGCCAGCTCAAGCTTAATGTATGGTATTTCATGCTTTCAAAACAGTGCACCTAAATGCTGATTTATTCTTATTTGCTTTGGCTCAGATTTTTGTGTTCTTTCATATTTCTGTTCATAACATGATATGGCCTGTCCACCCACAAGGTACCAACAGAACATAGCCTTTGAATTTATGGGCAACAGTTTGGAGTCAAAGCCTCGAAAATAAACTTCTTTCTATTTAATGTTGTTAATAACAAGATGCTGTTCATCACGTTCCTTTTTTTTGACACACACTTAAGATATGTGCTTTTTTGGTATTACACAAAATGAAACATCCTGACAACAGACACTTTGTTCACAGCTCTCTCAGCTCAAATCAAGTGTTACATTTTAGTAACATTAGTGCTCCTTCCCCTTAATGCTTAATGCTTTCATGCCGAGCCTTCAGACCGGCAGGCTTTGATCAGACTGTGAGTTCCTTATCTGCATCGGAGTTGTCATAAGATCTTCTCTGAATTTAACTTATTTCAAACAAATCTAGTGGACAATATCAAGAAGCTAAAAGGCCATAAAGCTACAGCATATCTGCCATACAGTGATTTATGGAACTTCCAGTCTTCTTCTTTTTCTAAAATACAGGATTCCTATGCAGATTGAAAAAGTATGGGATTGTATATAAATAATTTGCAGGTCTGGATAAGTATGGGAAAAAGAAAAACTGAATTGTCCCTAGCAATTATTTTGATCAAAAAATGCTTGTGTTTAGTCAGTGTATTTGAGTATTAGAGTTACTGTTAGAAACAAACAATAGTTATCTGATATTTGAAAATTAATTCACGATATGAGAAAAAAGTTATATTAGAATAGGTTTCGAGTCTATGTGCATGTCTTGGTATACCTGCAGTCTCCAGTTACTTAGACTTGTAAAACGTTAGATTGCGTCTTTCCTCTGACCG